CCCAGAACTTCTTAAACTTTCTATTTCGCTGTACAGTCCGGGGGTTAAAAAAACTTGAGAGACGCCAGCTTTCTCTCACTTTCTCCCCGTCCTCTATTTCTAGCTCTGAACGCCTGAGGAATGTTTTATGGTGCGAGAAACGAAACGTTTTTATTTTGCTCCTCTGGGGCATATCCAGTATTTTTCCACCAGGCTTCGCGTAAGGAATAACCCCCAATGTGGGAGACTCTACATGTACTGGAACCATAATTCCCGAATGCCGGTTGGCAATGTACCCAAAAGATTTGGAGGCGCTCCATTTGGAACAGGCAAGCGAACTCTATTCCCAACCCCACCGGTTAAAGGGAAATGGGAAAGAGAGAAGGAAGGAGCTAATGGGCTACCAAGCTCCCATGATATGCCAGGAACAGTAACAACGACAAGTTCAGACGAGACGCAGGTTGAGACTAGAAACCGGAGGAGGAGGAGGACTCGCTGCCACCTCCCACCTGGCAAGCCGCTCCCACTGCTCATGCGCTCCCCGCGAGGCCTACTGCAGGGGGACTCAGGACCGGGCGGACGAGCGGGTTCTGCAAAAGCAGCAGCATGTGCGCGCCGGGACTTGGGAGACTCCTAGGCCCGACTCGCCCAACCCATCCTCTGGCACTCAGGAGTGGCGAGGCGCCGTTTCCCCCGTCCAGCCGGCGCGGAATCGCTTACCTTAATGGCAGAGCTCTCTTCCAGAGAGAGGTCGACTTACGCCACGGCGAGCAGCCGCCAGACCCCGTCCAGCAACGCTATTTACAGAACGGGGGCGGCGGGGACAGCGAACGAGCGAACGCGCGAGAGATGCCTCCCTCCCCGGCAGCCAATCCCGCGCCGCTTCATGGGTACAAGCCTTCCCCTTCCGTCAGGCGCGGCGGCCCGGCTGAGCCTTCGCTTCCCCTTTGCCCCGCGCGCACGCCGCCTTGAGTGCCCTGCGCATCCCCCGGGGCGTCGCGGTGCTTCATCCAGAGAAGTTGCAAGCCCAGAAGGCAGCCTAGGGGCCCCTTAAACTTTTCCGGGCTATTGCGCATGGCTGGGCCATCGTCTGTTGCATTAAAAGAAGAAGAAAAAAGGGAGGGTGGGACCGCGCGCGCACATCTGGATTTTAGTTTCAAAAATAGGTGATTTCTCCATCCTCGCAAACTGGGAGACTTCTGGGCGCAGCGCCAGCCAACTCACCTGATAGGATTCAGTTTGCGTATCTGCGGTCTGTTTCCCGTTAGAGGCCTTTAACCCCACTGATGACTGAAGTCCTTTCCCACAGCCTTGGGACAGCACAAAACTATCCTGGCAAGAAATCCGTGACCAGGGCCGAGCCCTAGCCTGTCTCTTGTGCCTCTGGCCCCAGTCACTTCAAGGGAAAAAAAAGAGAAGGGTGCCAAAAGGTGGACATGTTGGCCCAATCCATTTAATGGGTGTTTAGGGTCCATAAACCTCACCCTAACCCTAGGTGGATTTTCTAACAAACAGGATTTCCCCAGGCATCCTCAGTCCCTGGTCCTTCCAAACTGATGAATAACTAAGGCTAAGCTCTTACATGTCTTGGGACTGCGCTTGGAAGGTGTTGTAGTAAGAGGGAAAATGCTGCTGAAATGTCAGAATTGTAAAGGCATCTGCCTTTCCCCACTTGTATGAATGTGCCCTGGCAGCCTCTTCTTTTCTCCCCTATGCCCATGATGTTGTCTCCATCTGTAGGTGAGCCTATATGGGCTGCAGAACATGCCAAGATCACAGAGGTGCCATGAAGACCATTGGAGTGGCTAGAAGCGATTGTTTCAGTTCATTTTTTAATAGTTTAGGTGCAAAAGGCAGAAATTGGCTTACAGCACCCATTCTGCTCCTTAGATTGCCCTTGTTGGAAGTATCCAAGGAGAAGTCAAAAAAGTCAAGATGGGTGGGGGTGCAGTGGTGCAATA